TTTTTTTTTAAAATACCAATAATATATATATATATATATATGTGTGTGTGTGTGTGTGTGTGTGTGTAAAATACTATAAAATATAGAAATGTAAAAAATATTTACAATATATTAATAAAAACTTATTTTCTATGTTGTTCAGATTTAAATTAATAACATTATTTATTTATTGAAAAATGTACTAACAATTCTTATATTTTACATCTCTAGATGAATTTTTGAATTATTTATAATGATTTACTCTTTCAGCCTCTTAATTGTAAATCGGTTGAGTTATTTATAAAACTCAGTATTTAGATGGACTGTTACATTTTTTTTACTTTTTTTTTTTTGTGTAATCACATATTTTTAAATTTATTTATTTTCCTTTTAAAAATATGTTCATGTTATAAACTCTAATCAACAAAAATATTATGCAATGTGCCGGAAAAGTTCAATTTAAAACAATTTTTCAATCAAAAAAACTTATTTTTACATAAACTATAGATGTTGAACTTAAGTCATAAATACATGAAATCTCATATTTTTTCTGGTTTATTTTTTTAAAAGATTGTGGGTGATACGGATTCTAAATTTTGAAAAACTTGATAGTACACTTATCGATATTTATATTTATAGTAAATATATTTTATATGAAATGAGCGGTTCGACTTAAATTACAAGCTCGTTATAACATTTAAAACCCACCTCCCTTAAGTGAAATTCCTAGATCCGTCATTGGACTATGCCCCATCCCCAACACTCGCATCACTACCTAAGTTCACCTTATTCTGGATATTTTATTTTTTTGGGTCACCGATAAACCGAAAAACGTGGTCTTATGAGATATTGTAGGTTATATAATTAATAATGACAAGCTACCCAAGAGCATCTCCAATGGTTTAAGTGAATTGTCGTCTATAATAGATGGTTTCTCTCCACCGTGGATGGAATAGAATGACAGGTTCATAAATAACTCTCCAATGGTCTACACACAGTAAATGTCTATACACGTTTTTTTTTTTAATTTTTTTATTTTGTTGTTATAAAAAAAGCCAAAAAAAATTTGTTGAACGATTGCACAAAAATTTTATTCACATTTAAAGGGTGACAACATATAAATTATTATTATTGAGCTTCATATTGTATAATGCCGGTATTTATTATGTATTTTAATGCATAATTTTAACAAAATATATATCATTAAATTTATAATAGGTATTTTTATATCGGTATTTTTATTAATATCTCCTTTTAGTATGTATACATAATTGTAAAACAATATATACCATTAAATTTATAATATGATTTTAAAGGTCTTTCAATTTTTTTATTTTATTTTTCTTTATGTAAATTAATTTGTCTTTGATAAAGTGTATACAAATAAATACCACCAAACTATAATTTAATCAACAACTTAGATTATAAATTAAATTTTTTCTTCAAGTTTAGTCTTTTAGTAAATACTATATACATGTTTTAGTAAATTTTATTGTTTATGAATTGTACGTATAAGGATAATTTAAAATAAAAAAATAAACAAAAGAAAAAAATGATTCATCACATGTAGAAGTACTTTCACATGTAGAAAGACTTTTAGAATAATTATATCTCTTTCATGCCACATCAGCATAAATAGAAGTAAAAAAAATACCGCTCGTTAAGTTTTTTTATCGTACAGCTTTTACAATCCTACAATTGACATGCTGTTGGAGATGCTCTAACATTCCAATTAGCATAAATTGAGAAATTCACATGGGATTAATGATTATAGTTTATATTTTACGGTCCTAATATTTACAAGTAAAATTCTTACTGTCCAAACAATGCAGAGTCCAAAGATTCGTCATAGTATCAAAAGTGTCAAAAAATTAATAGTGTGAATAAAAGTAAGTTATGGTACCAAAAAATGTCACAACCTCAATTTTATGAGCCATTGATGCATGATTGTGGCAAGAAGATATTGTGTACATTTAAAAGAAATAAAAGTCCATTCGAGTTATACTTTTAATATTTGATTTTAAAGATCTCATTATGTTTTCAGACTTTGTTAATTGCCTTAGATTTTCAATCTGGTTGATGCTTGTGCTAAAAAGCAAAAACAGACAAGTACTAGATATGCATATATTTTGGTCCATTTGCCCACCACTTAGAAGGGCCACATATTGGGCTATTCATAACTTGGTGCCCAACTTTAGAACTCGGACTGGTACATGGGCCATCCGGATAAAATAACTTGTCCAAAAAGTAAAATTTATGTTTCTTTATTGACTCATTTACAAACATGCCTATGATTTGAAAAATAGCACAAAGACAAATCAATTTATTAGAAGTATCTTTATACAATTTTTTCTCTCTTGAGAGTGGCTCTATCTCTCTCTTGAGAATGTTTCTTTTCTTTTTAATGAGATTGCTTTCTTCTTCCCGAGAGATTTCATTGCTTGAAGGGAGAGTATTGGGTGGTAGTGTGAGGGGAGAGGGGCTTTTGCGAGGATAGTTAGGGTGTAGATTAGGGTTTACTGTTTGGGCTGATACTTGGTGCCTAGGGGTTTTTTTTCAGGCTAAGCCCTAATGGCAAAGGAAAATGATGATTTGGAGTCACTGATGGAGCACTTCTCTCTGTCGGAAAGAGAAATATCTTTTATCTGTCGGAATGTGGCAGAAGTCTTTTCAGCAAAGTTGCAGGGGATAAAAGAGCCAACTGGATAGGAATAAGGCATGGAAAGTAGGCAATGCCTTGGAAGTGCGCGAGCTGGAGGATAATTTTTTTCAATTCATCTTCCACACCAAAACGGAGAAGGAAAAGATGGACCTGTCGAGGAATTGGGTTTTTGAACCAATACCTAATCCTACAAGACTGGAAAGAAGGATTAAAAAGTACAGATGAGGTGTTTGATACTTTAAATTCAATGTCCCTCTGAATTGGATTAGCACATAGGTAGGATTGAAGCTAAAAAGAATGTTCAAAGGGATAAAAAATGTGCATATTGCTAGGATTGGAAACCAGGGAGGGAGAGTACTGAGAATCTGGGCTACCCTCAATCTAAAGGAACCTATTCGAAGATGGACAAACATCAGGTTGGGTGACAATGCAGTAGTGGTCCAATTCAAGTATGAGAAGTTGCTAAATCTATGCTACTACTGCGGGAAAATCGGTCACCTAGAAAAAAATTGCAGTAAAAAGATTTTGGATATAGAGAGGAATGAGGTAAAGGGAGGACAATATGGGGAGTGGGTTAAAGCTGCAGAAGGAGCTCATTGGTCTGATACTACTAATCCCAGCAATGAAACTCCCTCAGAGGATTAGAAGAGGACAGTTGCAATTTTAGTCCCAAGAGGTGCAATATAAGTCCTTAACTAATTTTTGTTGCACAAATGGTCCCAAATCTAACTGACCGTTTGTCATTAGTTTGAAAAGGGAGAAAATTACAAATATAATCCCATAAGATTAGTTTTGTTGCAAATTTAATCCCGAATATTGAAAAAATAGTTTTATTACTAATTTTTGTTGTAATTTTTATTCTGTGAGTATATAACAATATTTGATAGTAAAAATTTAGTTTTGAGACAAAAAAATTACTATACAATGTCTTCTATATTTAAAATTATTTTTTATTAAATAATAAATATATTTAAAAAATAATAATTATTTAAGTTTATTAGAAATATAGATTTCTAGAGGTTAATCAAATTTATAAATAAAAATAAATAAAAGTAATACCAACTACTATTGGTATGAAAGTTCGGCCAAACTTGTTGTTGAATCGAGAGTCGAACGGTTTGATTCCTTTAAATGGATTGGTTTCCAATGAACCGATTAGAATTAGTTGAATGGACTAGTCAATAATATATATTTTTTAAATAAGTTAATAAATATTTATATTTTTTTATATAACAAAAATATAAGTTTAAATATATTTGATATATATAAATTCAAATATATTTGAATTTATATTATTATGTTTTCTGTATTTAAAATATTTAAATTAAATAATAAATATATTTACAAAATAATTATTTAATATTATTATAATTATATTGGTTGATGAAAAAATAAAAATATAATTTTAGAGGTTAATAAAAATTTAAAACGTAAAATAAAATTAAAAATAAAAATAAAGTTAAAATCAACTACTATTATTTTTAAAATAATATCAACTACTATTATTTTTAATTTTTCGAATCGGTCAAATGGTTGGATTCATTTGAACGAACTGGTTTTCAATGAACCAGTCAGAATTGGTTGATCGGACTGGTCTTATATATATATATATTCTTAAATTCATATTTGATATATAACAAAAATATTATTTGAATAATTTTTTAAATTCATATTTATATATTTTTTTAATATAACACAAATATAAACTTAAATTCATATTTGATATATAACAAATATATTTTTTATTAACATATTTGATATATAACAAAAATATTTATATATTTTTTAATATCAAAAAATATAAACTTAAATATATTTGATATATATTAATACAAATAAATTTAAATTTATATTATTATTAATATATTAAAAATTTTAATTGCAATACAATGATTTCTATATTTTAAATATTTTTATTTAAATATTTAAAAAATCATCATTTAATTTTATTATGATTATAGTGGTTGATAAAAAATAAAAATATAACTCTATAGGTGAATAAAATTATAAAATAAAAATAAAAATGAAAAGTTATTTTATATATATCAAATATGAGAAAATTGCAAATTTAGTCCCACAGTTGCAAATTTAGTCCTGAAATTTAACGGTGCCTTAATGGTCAGTTAGATTTGGGACCAATTACGTAACAAAAATTAGTTAAGGACTGAAATTGCGCCTCTTGGGACTAAAATTGCGACCGTCCTAATCTAACGGGACCAAATTTGCAATTTCCTCGTATTAGAATGATAATGCAAATACGGTGCATGGCAGCTCATCAAGAAATGAAGAAGGAGAAAGGGGCTCTTCCAATAAAACAGAGGGGCAACAATTACAACTGCAATGTACTAAGGAGATACAGATGACACAAGCAACTGTTGAAGAACCTCCTTGTAATGATGAAGGGGTGATATGCAACATGAACCCAAATGAAGACCCTGCTTACCATCTATCTGATATTGTTATAATTGTGGGGGCTTGGGAGTCTACAAAGCAAATGATGGTGAGTAATGTCTGTGAAACTCAAATGGAAAAAGTTGTTGTTGCTCCAATGATGAAACAGGCAAGAACGTGGAAGAGGAAGGCAGACAAATCAGGAAGATTACAAAGAAAAAAGAGGAAGGAAGAGGAGGTACAAATGAAAGGGGAAAGAAGAGATCTGCAAACGAAATAGTCATATATCAGCAACAAAATGAAGGGAACAAGGAGATGTCAGAGAAAAGGAAGAAAGCCAGAACTCAGTCCAAAATGGTGGAGGTAGCCAACCAGAAGTGGCTTCACCCATCCCAATGAAAGCTATAGTGTGGAACTGCAGAGGGCGGGGTGGGCCCTCCACAGTTCTCCAATTGCGAGAGTCATTAAAGACTCACCATCCAGATTTAGTTTTCTTATCAGAAGTGAAAAAACAAAAAGAGTTTGTGGCTAAAGTTTGTAAATCGTTGGGTTTTGAAGATAGATGGTTTTACTAGGAACCTTGTGGAACTAGAGAAGGTCTGCTCCCATGTTGGGAGAAGGATATTGAGATCATCACGGTTAAAGGTCAGAATTTTTGTATTCAAGTGCAGTTTAAAAAGTATCCTTTGGATAAAGTGGAGTGGTTTAATTTTGTATATCTGAGCACTATAAAACAAGAAAGAGAATTCCAGTGGCTCTTTTTGCAGGAGGACAAAGAGCAATGGGGAGAGGAATGAGTGACCATAGGGGATTGGAATGAAATAAGTGATAAAGAGGAAAAGAAGGGGAGCCAAGTGAGAAGTGAGAAAAGCTTTGACAATTTCAACAATTTCATTGCTACAATGGGTATGTCTTTAATCAGAATCGAGGGATATAGATTCACTTGGGGGAATAACAGGGAAGAAGAGGGATATGTTGAAGAAGTCCTGGACAAAGCCTTTGGCTCTTTGAGTTGGATGACTGCTCACCCTCAGGCAAAAGTCACTAATATTTTCAGAAGTTCATCTGATCATGGGATGTTGCTGCTGCATAGTGAGAATGGTGACAAAACTCATAAAGCCCGGTTTGTTTTTTACAAGAGATGGATTCAAAGGAGAGACATCACAGAGGTGGTGAGTACAGTATGGAGGGAAGCAGAATCAGGTACTCCATTCTTTATCCTNAAAACAAGGATGGCATTAAGCAATTGGAGCAGGAACTTTAGGGCAGACAACAAGAGGAATATTAAGAGGTTGACCTTGTCTTTGGAAGAAATGAGGAATCTAGGAGGGGGAAGGAACTGGGAAGAGTGGGAGTCTATTCAAGCTGAACTTGATGCAGCTTTGGTATCTGAAAAGAAGTTCTGACTCCAAAAATCAAGAATAATGTGGCTTAAAGAAGGGGACCGAAACACGAAATTCTTTCACGCAATGACAATCCATAGAAGGAGGAAGAATGCCATAACAAGGCTGGTGGAAGGAAGAAGAACTTATGATACAAGTGGGGCCATTGAAGAGCATGTGATTGATTTTTATGATAAACTTTTTTCCTCTGAGGGATCCAGTGATGATGAAGAGGCACTGTGCAACATCAAACCAGTCATCACACAGGCAATGAATGAAGAACTTATTAAACCAGTGGATCAGGCTGAAATCAAGAGTGCTTTGTTCCAAATGAACCCTCTCAAAGCTCCAGGAGAAGATGGGATGACAGCCCTTTTCTACCAACACTTCTGGCAAGTCATTGAAGAAGAGGTGTGCACAGCTGTAACTACTTTTTTTGAATTAGGCCAAATTCTCAGGTACTGGAACCAAACTTTGGTGGCTTTAATTCCTAAACGTCCATCTCCTGCATCTCTGAGTCAGTACAGGCCAATCAGCTTATGTGCAGTTGTGTACAAAATAATATCTAAAATCTTGGCTGCTAGATTGAAATGTTGTCTTGATGTATGTGTTAACCCTGCCCAAGCTGCCTTCATAACAGACAGACAACTTTTAGACAATATTGTAATTGCCCAGGAGACATTCCATTATCTGAACAGACATAGGACAGGTCCACATTGTTTCATGGCTTTGAAGTTGGATATGGTCAAAGCATATGACAGAGTGGAAAGGAGATGTGTTAAAAAGACAATGGAGAAGATGAGGTTTGCTGCTAGTTTTATTAAGTGGATTATGGGTTGTATTACAACCTCTTCCTTCTCCTTTTGGTAAATGTCAAGGCTGTGGGGCACATTAAACCAACCAGAGGATTGAGGCAGGATGATCCAATATCACCTTACCTCTTCCTATTGGTGTCTGAGATTTTTTCTTCACTGATTCAGAAAGCAGCTGAGAGAGGCCAATTTAGAGGACTGAGAATTGCAAAGGGAGGTCCAACTATTACTCACCTTCTGTTTGCTGACGATTCTTTGGTGTTTTGCAAACCTGACCAAGACCAAGCTATGAGATTGCTACATATTCTGCAGATTTATCATAACTTCTCAGGCCAAAGGGTCAATCTTTCAAAATCAACAGTCTTTTTTAGCAGAAAAACATCTCAAGCTATCAGACAGTCCCTCTGTGCTACTTTGTCATGTGTTCAAGCTCATAATTCCACAAGATATTTGGGATTACCATTGGGCATAGGGAAGTCTAAGAAGGAGGCTTTTGAGTTTATATTACAAGCTGTTAGAAAGAGATTGATAAGCTGGCAAAATACCTACCTTTCAACTGCAGGCAAGGAAGTATTAGTCAAAGCTGTCATTAATGCTTTGCCAGTTTTTGCAATGAGCTGTTTTAAGCTGCCTGTAACAATCTATCAAGAATTGAGCCAGATCACTGCCTCTTTTTGGTGGAGCAAAGGAACTAAACAAGAGAAAGGGATTCATTGGAAGCAGTGGAATAAGATAACAGTACCAAAAGCAAATAGAGGTTTGGGTTTCATTGATTACAAACTGTTTAATGAGGCATTCATTTTGAAACAGTTATGGAGACTTACAACAAATCCGGACCTCCTAGTGAGCAAAATCATCAAAGAAAGATATTATCCTTCAACATCAATCTTTGAAGTCAAAAGGGTGAGCTCAGCTTCATGGCTCTGGAACAATTGGGTTGACATTATTCCCAGTTTGGCAAAGGGACTGTACAAGGAAATCAGAAGTGGAAGAGAGACAAAGATACTGGATCACAGCTGGGTGCCTTCACTTCAACATAAGAGCCCAAAACCTCTGAACAGTGAGAATGAAGACTTGATTTGGGTTCATGATATGATAAATGAAGATGGAAGGCACTGAAATACTCAAATTTTGACAAGTGCATTCTCAGAGAGTGATAGGAAAGTCATCCTAGAAGTTGAAAATCTCAGACCTGACCTACCAGATAAATGGAAATGGAGGCATGACAAGCAAGGAAGATTTACTGTAGCAGGGTCTTATAATCTTTTGATGGCAGGAAAAATTTTGAGGTTGGACTTTGCAGAGAGCAGCTCTTCAGGAGGCAGAGATAAGCAAATAAGAGAAAGGAGCTAGAAGATGAGGGTAAAAGGGAAGCTGAAACACTTCATATGGAAGTGTTTCAATGGCATACTCCCAGTCAGTGTCAATGTGGCTAAACAAGGAATCCATGTGGATGTTATATACAAGCAATGTGGAGACCAAGAGGAGACTATAGAACACCTCTTCTTTTCTTGCAGGAAAGCCAAAAGGGTGTGGCAGAGGGCTCCAATCAGCTGGGATGGGGCTCTTCACAGTGAGACATCCTTTAGGCAATGGTGGTGGCAGGTATGCTCAACTGATTCATCTATTATCTCTGAAGACCGCATGCAATTGGCCACATACATATTGTAGTGGTTATGGCGGTCAAGAAATCTATGGTTATTTGAGCAAGCATGGATGCCAGAAGATGTGATATTGAGAAATGCGTGGAAGGAATGGCAAGAGTTTGAAGGGGTTGGCAGACCGAGTAGATAGCTTCAGTTTTTCTGTTTTTCTTTTTTCGGTTTTGGTTGTCTTTACTCTGCTTGTAGTAGGATGTGGTTGGTAGATTGGTGGTTTAACGGCTTTAAGTCTCGGGGGTTTGTCCCTGCTTAAGGCTCGTAGTTTGGGATCGGTTTTAGACCACTCTTTGAGTGGATCTCTCATTGTTTGGGTGCGGCATTTTTTTGTGTTGTTTCCGGAGTTGTTTCCGGTTTGTTTAAATTATGTATTTGTTTTCTTTGGTTAATGGAGTTAATTTCTATCGTGTGAAAAAAAAAAAAGAAGTATCTCTGTACCAAATAATTACGAATATGTCTAGTATTAGTTTAAAAAAGGTATAGATTCTTTAATTTACGTAACTGAAGAAATTTACCTAAATTATTCATCCCTAAAACAATGGTCTCTCTCTTCTATAAACGTATAGGTTTCCATGTTCTCCCTCTCTCTTTCTCTCATATCTATGTTATTTGAAATCCGAATTTTATCACCCTTCCGTCGAAAAAAGAGAGCAGTAGCATTTGGTTCCATGATGAAGAACAAAATTTGAGACAATAAAAACAGAAAAATATATCGTTGTGAATTAGTTATTGTTTCGTCTGTTTTTATTTGATTCTTCCTTTTTATTTCTGTTTATTTCTTCTTTTTTTTTCGATGGAGTCGCCGATGATGACATTCATTCATCACAGTGGTGAATGGATTATGGACACGATGTTCTCATCCCACTGGAAGTTTTATAGCTTGAGGGGAGTAGAGGCGTGGCCTTTTCGAACAGAGGGACCGTACGGGTAGGATTGTTATCGAACCGAGCTTAAGATATTCGAGCTCGAGTTCGACTATTTTTTGAACTTGTTCATGTTCGTCCATTTAATATTCAAACAAAAAAATTCATTCGTGTATTAATTGGTTCCACAAGTTAGTGTTCGTTAGTTTATATAGTTGAACTTGTTTGTGAACTATTCGATTTGTTCGACAAGTTCGTGTTCGAAATGTTTGACAAGTTCTTGTTCGAGTTGTTCATGTTCATGTTTGTTGACTATTTTTTTAATACAAGACAAGTTATTTTATTTAATATTTAATATATATCCATAATGCATATACTATATATATATATATATATATATATATATATATAATATATATGAAATTATAAAATATCTTTTTGGTCGCAAACTAAACGAGCATAATTTCATGTTCGATTTCAGTTTGATTACTAAATGAACGAGTTGTTATTGAACTTGAACGAGCTTTGTTCGCGAATATTTCAGTTCGATAACAGGCTACGTACAGGGTGATTGAGAAGGATAAAGCAACATCTATATTGGCGGCGGCATAACAGATGACTGGGTTAAGGAGAAATCTGGCGGCGGCGTGCACGACAGCGAGAAGAAGGTGAAATGGAGAAGGTGTGATTTCTAAAGATGAAAAATTTCGTAACCATTTTTTGATATTTTTCTGCTTCGAGTTTGCTTACTGTAAACGCAACAAATTCAGAAATTTTGTATAGATAGATGTTATGTAAATAATTACATGTTATAATAAAGTATAAACAAAAATTCACCAGCATAAGACCTATTTTCTATTTTCTATTTCCATGGGTCCACTTCTAAGATTCTAGAAACCATCAACTAAAACCTCTTTTATTTCCCTTATCTTCTACTTAATAACAAAAAAGGAAATTGTATATATACACTTATATGTTATATACATGTTTACAGGTTATAAACCAAGTATAAATCGAATTTTGGTTGAGAAAAAAAAAATTGTAATCTTGTGTGTATAATTTTTATTTTACATTTTGACGAATGATATAAAGTATTCTACATGTCAATGCTGTATAGATCGTTGGCATAAAATAAAATTAAGCAAAATGTATAAACTAAAACAAAACACCACAATTGTGGCTAAATAAATGTTATGTAAATAAAAATGCAACATATACTAAAAATACACTTACTATAAAGCAGCATGCACTGAAATTATACTAATGTCCGTCTTGCACAAGATTTTGATGCTCGTCGTTAAGCATTGACCTTTTCTCTTATAATTGTCGACCCGGTTGGTTTGTCATTCATTTGTCTTATTCTTTTTTTTTGTTTTTTTTTTGTTTTTTTTTTCTCAGTCNAGTCGGGTTATCGCTTTCAACAACATATTCACCAATTTACATCTCGTCCATGTCAAATTCTTCTTCTTCAACAAAATCAAAATCTTGGTCGGGTTTTTCTTTTTACTAAAGTGTTGGAATTCTTATTCCACCGTGTTCACTTCTTTGCCAGGGGGATCTCGTCAATATCGTTGGAAGTTTTTGCATCGACCTATTCTTCGCCACCTTTTTTGTGCAAATTTTTTTAGACCTACCTTTATCGAATTAAAGCTTCTTCTGCACAAGCATCCGGTCAACTTTAGTTTAATATTATAGAGACAAAAATTATATATATATATATATATATATGTAGGGTCACGCTCCAGCGAGAATGGTGCTCAGTGAGAGAAATAAGAATACATCATAGCCGTTAGATCGCATGATCCAACAGCTTATAAAAAAGACAAAAATATACCTTCATTAAGGGTATTGCAGTAATTTCCTATACTACATTCAAACAAATGGGCCCATCCACATTAAATAAATCTGCCATCACCCACCCAACCACCTCTCTCTCTCTCTCTCTCTCTCTCTCTCTCTCTTTGATTACTCTCTCTCCTCGTCACTCTCTCTCTCAATTACACACACACGCACACACCACCAACACACACATCACACAGTAAAGAGGCGGCCTCCTACCACCGCCGGCAACCACCCCTCTATGCCGCAGCCGCCGCCATTGCCACCTCCGCGATTGTCTTCCTCTGCCACTCACACACACACACACACACTCGACGCACAAACTGTGACCGGCGACTCAGCGGCCATCTCCGGCGACTCAACAACCATCTCCGGTGTCTCAGCGACCATCTCCGGCGTCGCTCACGGTAGACGTCCACTCGCACCAGTTGCCGCCCTTCTCAGCCAGTCGTTCGCGCCGCCCAGTCGCCCCATCGCACCGTGGTTGCCGCCTCGCAACACCTCCGCTGGTACAACGCTGGTCTCGTCCAATCTGCTGCCGCTGAGCTCGTCGCGCCCACGGTGGCTGCCGGTGTAGTCCTAACGACGTCATCCACTCGCCGCTGTGAAATCCGCCACCGGCCTCTGGCGCCTCCGCGTGCGCTGATCGGAGCAACAGTGGCCGAAAAAAAAATAAAAAAAAAAACTTGGGGGAGGGGTTTTTTTAATGAGAATTTGATATTCTCAAAGGACCAAATTGCAATTTTCAGTAATTTTATTTTATTTCAATCTAGTCCATGGGGCCAATATTTAATTTATGGAAAATATATAGAACATCATATTTTTATATATTTGTTTATCACATATATAGATATTATGTGTTTGTAACAAAAAATAAATATAAATATTAGATAAAATATTATTATTTTTATATATTTTTGTATTTTTTACTTTTCAATATTATATAAATTATTATATATATTAAATAAAAAATATAAAGTAAAAATATTATTTTATATATTTTTAATATTACGTGTTTTCAATATTAAATAAAAATATCAAAGACATTAAATATATTTTTATAATACAAATAATAAAACATTTAATTATTTACGTTATATCAATCCGGTTTAATTATTTCGATTCGATTTTAATTTGAATTTGAATATAAGAAAACCTGCATTGCACATAATGCACAATAAACTAGTGCACCATAACGCGTTGCACTTTATAAAACATCACATTGCACTTTATAAAACAAACCATTGCACTTTATAAAACAACAAATTACATTTTATCGTCACACTCCACAATTAACGTTAATAGTTCCTGCCAGAATACCACACAACATAAATCTAAAAATAGATCTACATAATATTTTAACATCAATCATAACATTTTTCCACATAAAACACAAGCATGCTAAAATACCAAATTTACAGTAGTGCACTTTGTACATCAACACGTTGCACTGTATAAAACAATACGTTGCACTTTATCACGACTATAAGATCCCCCGAATAAAGAATGAAACGAACCGAACTCAATTTTTTTAAGCAAAAGTATTATAAAAATAATAAATAAAATTATTAACATATGAAATATAATTTTAATATAAATAACAAATTATTTCGATAATTTAGAATAATTTGGTTAACCAACCCGAATAAACCAATTGATTATGTTCATTTTTAATTTGATTGGTACAAAAGTTCGGTAGTTCAATCTGCACAATACATGCAGACACCGTGCATCATATTGTTGGACGAATTGCACTTTA